AGGGATGCTTCTAACACATCACTTCAAGAGAATGGGACTTATTTGGCCCATTTCTTCAAGTTGTTCTTTTCTGGTGTGGGTCTTGTGGTTGTTTCCCTTTTTTCCTTATCTTCATTTTAGCACACTGAAGATGGATAGGAGGAACGGTTGTGCCGCTCACTCTATTTTGCCGTGAGTTTTGGAACAGTTTTGTTTCTCTTAAAGCTCTAATTAGTTGAAGGCCTGTGGTCATGATAGGAAAAAAAAAAGTTTCTAAGTGTTCTGTCTGCAGAAAGCACTTCAAAATAAGATCCTTGTCTTTAAAATGGATCAGAAAAAAGAAAATGAAGTTCAGGAATTATTATAAATTTATGAGTCCACATCAGTCAGATGAATTTTAGAGGGGAAAAGAGGTGTATTTTAAGTCTGCAGATAAAGGAGAAGAACCAGAAGAAAAAAATCTGAAAAGATGCTAAAGATGAGGTAAGGACATGTTAAAAAATTAATGGCAGCAAGGGACTGATAATGAACACATGGTACAGAAAGTGTTTTTGTATTCTTGTCCCAGTCCATTACTCTGTTCATATTTCTAGACTTTACCATACTTAAAATAAAGCAAAAGACAAGTGTCCCAAATAAAGCCTTGAAAGAAGTGGTGAAGTAGCGTGAGGTAAAGGAAGAAATGATAGTTGAGAGGCTTTTTGCAAGTATATAATCTGCCACAAAAAAGAAAAAAAAAAAAAAAAGGTTTATAATTATTCTAGAAGAAATGCAAGGTACCTTTACTCTGTGCATTTTTCCCTTTAATAATATAAGAAGGGGTAGGCTGAGAGGAATAATCCTGGTTTTTTTGCCAGTCAGGCAAACTTCTCTATTTTACAGGCTTTCAAATGCCTTTCTTACTTAGGTAGGCATAAGTCTGAGAAGTGATGTTCTCCAGATATTTATTTCTCATTTGTGCATCCTGAAGTTTCAAGTCATCCTCAGACAGGCAGAAATCTAACTTCACTGTCCAGAATAGTGTTCTGATATTTCCCAGGGAAAGGAAATACATTTTTTCATGAATGAGAAGAAATGCCTGGTTTTAATACTTATTTTTCATTATCCATCTTTTAAAGTCCATTAGTATTGGTCAGATGCATGAGGACTGGTCATTTAGCACAAAGAAATAGACATTTCTGGCCTTTGGCACATGAGGGAAGTAGTAAGGAAATACTCTCACTGTCAGCCAAGTAATCAGAACACACCCACAATTTTCTTTGACACTACTAAATTTAGAGAAGGAATGTGAAAAATCGACTTCAGGGGCATGGTGTACCCTCTGAGGCACACAGTGAAGTGTGGATTGCACAGTGACAAGTCTCTTTCCTGCTTTTTAACGTGGCCTTCTAAGACAGGAAGTTTGTGTTTTCATGCTGTCCCGTGGCTCTACCCTCTTTCTGTTTTCCATTAACATTTGGGTCAATTTTAACTGAATGGAAAGACAGAATTTTACCAAGATTATTTCAGTTCTACAAGTTTCATGACGACTGACGACTGTTGCAGGACAGATACTCAGATTGGTACTTCTAACCAAAGAAAAGTCTGAATAACTTCTCTGTCTGTCCCTAGCTGTGTATGAACAATCAATCAGCAGCATGTTGCTCCAGCATGTTGTTCTACCATCCCAAGGATATGGGGATAAGCAGTGGGACAGTGGCAGAGAGAGGGGAAGCAGCAAAAGCAATTTTCATGACAGTGTGCAAATAAAAAAGGAATCAATCTCCAACATGGCTGCAGGGCTGCAGATTACAGGAGGTTTTATTTAATTTTATATTCCTTTTATTAGGTATATAACAATGAATCTGCTACAGAAACTGGAGGTTTTAAATAGAGTTTTAGAAGCAGCTCATCTTCTGAAGCCCAAAACCATTGCCCTGATGTTAGGAGAAAGACAAGGCTGGATGTTATGGCTTTTTATTAAAACAACAGCTTGAAAATGGTGACTTAAATTCATAGAAGGATATTGGAGGAGTACTATTTCCTTTATGTAGAATTCAGAGAAAAAATATTTTTTCGTTAAATTTCTCATTTAAATATTTATCTGTTTAAACTTCTATCTCCAACTGAATTCTGTGATACAGATATATGGCTTTTCACAGAAAACAAAAAGTAGATATTGGAACACAACACTAAGCATGCTGTTGCAACAGCTTTGCAGAGTTACTGGGTGAGCAAGCTAAACAACATTTTCTGAAGTGCTTACCACTATTTGCTGCAGGTTGACTGCTGAGGTTCCTACGCTCTACAAATAACAACATATGGGCACATAAAGTCTATAAAGATCTCAGTAGTCTTTCTATTGACAGTGGTTGTAAGTATGTCTCTTTATTTTACAAATAATATTTACAAAACTTAGGGTAACACTGGGTCAATTCTTATTTGTGTAGTATGTGCTGTCTGTGATTAGATCAGGAATCTGGAGGACACTCCGCATCAGAATATTTGGTAGGTAAAAACTGGGAAAGGTGGCACTGTGAGTTAATAATTCTTTTAAGCTTGTGATGAGGATTATCGAAAATGAAGTGGAATGTGGAAATATGGACTCAGTTTAAATTGAAGTATTGAGGGGGGTGGAAAAAGTATTTACCACCTGTGGTTCAGGGAAGGGAAGCACACTCAGAGATAGCTGAGAGCATTGGATTAGTGACTGCAATGATATCTAGGGAATTTTAATTTGTATAATTTATTCAGTCGTTAATAAGGAGGACTAAAGCTTCATGTAGAACTCATTTTTGTATCAGTATGTGTTACAGGCAACTCAGCAAGGAAAAACTTCAGACTGAATTTTATTAAGTAAAATGGATATGGTAAGTACCATGATCATTAGGGATGGGTTTTGGATACAAATACAGGTGTATTAACATGTAAATGTTCCAATTTAACACAATCAGAAATGTATTAAGTAAAATAGATTGGCAGTGTTTATGAGCAAAGAACTCTTGAGGATGAAAAAAAAAAATAATTTGCAAAAAAGATTGGGAGGAAATACTGTAAAGCAAAACCTGAAATATAATTTATTTAAAGCCTCTGTGGATGAGTGATAAGTTGTTAAGCTAATTGCGAGTAACAACAGAGAAGGCAAAAACCTCACGGAGACAAAAATTTTGGCACAGATATAATGTCATTAGAAAAAAACAGAAGAAATGTAGAAAAAAGTATTTGAAGAATAAAATAGAAAAAAAAATTAGTTGCTGTTGCCTGTCCTGGAGGAATGACTGGGAGGGAGGAAATATCCCTGTGATGGAGCTGCCTCCTCTGAGTGGAGGATGAGGCAAGAATAATAAGTAAAACTAGTAAGAAAATAGAAAATACAAGGGAAATTTAACTTTTTCCATCTCCATAACCTAGAGTCTTATTCTTACTAACTCCTTTCATTCCAACATTGCTTTTGACTCTCTGTCTTCCTTATAAAACCACAAACTATTATAGGGAAGGACTGATTCTTTAAAGTGTCACACTACTACTGTGTCTGTCCCAGTCAGTGGATAGACTTAGAATTGAGGTTCTTAGACATCTGGAGATGGAAAACAGAAAGCAATGATGTGATAAAGATAGCTTTCTCCCCCAAAGGGGGTGGAGAAGTTAATCCAGTTATTGCTGGTAACAAACACAAGAAAGGAAACGTTAGAGGGATATATGTTTTCCAATATATCCTTAAAAAAAACCTGCAATCCAACTCAGCAGTTGGAGTGCATTCAGGGAAATATAGAACATTATACTACCATAAGGACATCAGGCGTAATCCGGTTAGTAGTAGAAAACTGTATTTCTGTGTTTAGAGAAGGATATCTGCCCATTGCAGAAAACAAAGACACTTCTCATTTCCTTGTCACATCTAAGTTGGTTTATTAGTGCTGGACATCAGGTGGCATAAAACAGAAAAATTTTAGAAGTCAGACTCCTTTTTGGTTCTCTTTTCTTGTTTGAAGCAGCACACAGTATAATAAGAAGCAATGTCAAAACTTGGGATGTGGAGGAATTGGTACAATTCCTAATTAGTTCCAAAATAGGGTTGAAATGTATTCCTGACAGCAGCACAAGCTCTTCCTCCTTGTCCTGTAGCTTCTGTTACGAGGAGTCTGTTATTTGGGAAGATAGTGAATCTTGAGGTTATCTCTGCCTTTTTCCTTGGCCAAGTTCTTGGACAGCATCTTCTGGTTACTGAAATGAAGTATTAGTTAATGAAATGCTTTCTGGGTTGGAAATAAATTATTAAATAGAACAGAATACTAAATTAGAATAGTGTGTACTTATTGGAAAATTGTGCTAACATCTTGGCAGATATGTCTTGCTAATGCTCAAATCAAATCATACCTAGCATAGATTTTCCTTTAATCTTAGGAGAAGCACTTTAGCTGATGCCTTGTAAGAGGAAGAGTGAACTGTTTCTAGGCATGGTCATATTTGATACAAAAATATTAGAAAAAAAATTATTTTTAGAAGGAAATAACTAGGAACTATAGAGAATTAGTAAGATCTTCACAACTGGAAGGAACAAGGGAGAGCCAGAGAAAGTTCTTATTTGAAAGAAGGCAGGAGTGGTGGTTTATCATGGAGTTTAATTCAGATAATCCAGATGAAAATTACGAAAACTCAATTTGCCTAATTTACTCTAAGTTTTAGTGCAGTAGACCTTGGGACCCCTGTGTCATGACCAAGAAATGATGACAATTCTGCTTTCCTTGAATGCGAGTTTTCCAAGGTTTCAGTACCCCAATGACAAACCGGCTCCCTCTACAGAATTATTTTAGCCGCCCTTGCAGCATCTTTTATCACATTTGTTTGCTTCACTTATGCTTTTGCTCACCCCGTCGCTCAGCTCATCTCTGTGCTGCACCCGATCAGCAGGCAGCGACCCGAGACCGTGCCCTGGCTCCCTCTCCCTCTCACACAGGCAGGAGAGGTGGGGACCCCTCGCTGGCTCAGCCCTTCCCTGAGGCTCAACCTGTGGCTGGCAAGGCAGGGATGGGGACATCCATCAGAAAGCTGGGAACTGCGGCCCTGTGTCCTCAGAGGAGAGGTCCCTGCTGCAGGTGTGCCCAGTGCTGGGCTTCACAATCTCCAGGAGGTGGTTTCCTATAGGGAAAAATAACAGTTCTGTGGCTTGCAGTGCCCAGAATAAATGACTGTGACAGCCTTCAGTGCTTTAGGTGGAAAATGACAACATGCTGCTGCTCTAAAATCATGATACCAGGAGGCACGCTGATCCTTTGGCCCACTTCATGCCTTGCAAAGGTGGCAGGAATCCTGGATAGGTGAATGAGGAGATCCTGGCTAAACTCAAACATAAAAAGTGTATGAGGCATGGAAGCAGGGGCGAGCCACATGGGATGAATATAGAGATGTTGTCCAGGTGCACAGAGACAGGGTTGGTAAAGTCAAAGCTCAGCAGGAGTTAGACCTGCTGATGAGGGATGAGGGATGTGAATGGCAACAAAAAGGGTGTCTACAGGTAATTCAGCATGAAAGGACCATGGAAAATGTGGATCTGCTGTAAAAATGGACAGGGGACCTGTTTACAGGAGGCATGAAAAATGGTGAGGTACTCAGTGCCTTCTTCACCTCCATCATTACTGGTAAATTTTACCCTCAGGAATCCCAGGCCCCTGAGATCCAAAGAGAAGTCTAGACCAAGGCAAACTTATCCCTGGTGGAGGAGGACCTGGTGAAGGAACATTTAAACAACCTGGACACGTACAAGTCCTTGGGCAATAATATGCTGAGGGAACTGTCCTCTGTCACTGTGAGTCCTCCCTCCATTATTTGGGAAAGGTTGTGACGATCAAAGGAGACTTCTGAGGACTGGAGAAAAAACAAATGTCCCCTTTGCCTTCAGTAAGGAGGATCCAGGGAACAACAAGCCACTCAGCCTCACTTTGGTCTCTGGGAAATCATTTTTAAACAAGGTGATTGGGAGTAGCCAGATGGATTAATGAAGGGGAAATCATATCTGACCAACCTGAGAACCTTTCATGCTGAAATGATGGGCTCAGTGAGCAAGGGGGAGCAGTGGATGTTTTTATCTTCACTTCAGCAGGGCTTTTGACATTTATCAATGTATATAAATCCCTGGTTGAGGAAGTAAAGAAGACAGTCAGACTCTTCTTGGTGTTGCCTACTGAGGTCAAGAGGCAATGGGCACCAAGGAAATCCCATATAGCCATAAGAAAACACTTCATTATTGTGAGGGTGGTTGAACTCTATCACAAGTTGCCCCCAGAGCCTATGGAATCTCCATCCTTGAAGATATTAAGAAGCCAACTGCACATGATGCTCAGTAACCCTTATAGGTGACCCTACTCTGAGGAGGGGTTTGAAGGTGCCTTCCAGACGCTGTGGGTCTGTAGATCTTTAACAAATAACTTTCATTCCTACCTTTGGAAGGTTTATAAACTCTTAAAGGAAATGTATGAAAAATAGATGAATGAAAAATTTTCATAATTGATTTTAATTATGGAATATTTTTTTTAATAAATGAAATAAGCTGCCTGCAATCAAACAAGTCATCCATGTTTTTAAGAGTTGAAAACAGAGCTAAAAATTCCTGTGTTTAAAACTTTCCATGCTGTCATTGCAATAAATTAAGTTTCTAATTAAACACATGCTCACATACACACTCTTGGATGGAATGCTATGCTTGATCAATAGCCCTAGGCTACACAGTAGCAGGCAGAATTATAGCAAATGGAACTGGATGAATGGGTTTACTTAATGACCACAATATGATTTATTTCATTGGTGGGAAAGGGGGTAGGAAGACATCAAATTGCTAAAAATATTACCAGAGCAAATTAAGATATGATCTTACAGGAGATACATTCCCAAGAGATCCTGTGTAAGTACAGAAGATCAGAGCTCAGATCACTCTAAAAGAAGTGATGAAAGTGTGTCAGCTAATCTGCATTCAGCTTGTTTGCCATTTATAATTAAGAAGGCTTTTTTATTACTTTTTTAATGTCAATGCTTTATCCATGGACAATTGCTGACTTAATCAGCACATTTTCACAGTGTCATGATTTTAGCTGTTGAAGGAGTCTTAGTACGAAGAACAAAATTAATGCAGATAATTTCACATATAGATAAACAGAAGAAAAATACTTCTTTGAATAAAGCTTCACAGAACGTCAATCTTAGATCCCTGACCACAACCACTTATTTGGCATTTGCAACAGCCCCTGCAAGACCTGCCAGTGTGGCAATGTGATCGTATCTGCTGGTGGTGAATCTGGGACTGGCAGCTATATGCTTGTCTCTGCTACTGGGAGTGTGCCACTGACCCCTCTGACCAGTCACTTACCTTGCCAGTGGAGAGAATGGTGCCAACCAGAGCTGAGACACAGACAGAGACAAAGCAGTTTTCTGAGTTCTGACTTCACTGTAAAGAAAGGTTTATGTTATATGTCTCATAAGCTGAAGTGAGCCAAAATTGAAAGGTCTGACAAACATTGAATGAGTAGCAAGAGAAGTCTTCCTCTGTCCCTCAAATACATGGGCACACATATTAATTCTGGTTCTGGTTGATGGAAATGTTCCTTCAGTTTCTCTTTCTCCCTGCTTATTTATCTGTGAAAAATGCAGAAACTGAATATAAATCAGGTTTTGACTTTTTCTATAATTGTGCTTTTCAAAGGAGATAATTAAATTTCTGCCTCTTTGGGAAAAGGTCAGCAAGTTGGGGTAACAAATATTCGTATCTCTAGGGCATTTGCCCTTATTAGCCATGAATCACTGTTTCATAAGCTTGGAGCCTTGGCTAGAATCCATCTAGCCTAAAATACTTTGAAAACCAATGAATTAACTGAGATCCACTTTAATAGTTCAACTTTATTACTAATTAACCTGTATATGCCCCTGTTTGTTATGCTGTAATTCAGAAAGTAACACTATTGCTATTGTCTAGACATATATTAAGTGTGTGGTGCTACTTCTCCATTACTTTAGGAATTTGTTGCTATGCTGATCACTTGTTTTGCACACAAACTAAAGCTGTAGAGAGTCTAAAGAGGTTAGTGAAGAAGCCTTTGAAAGGCTGATGGTTGACTTAATCTTGACCTCCAAATCAACTGACTCAGATCAAGGATACAGCCTGTATTTTGTTGATGCTGGAGAGCTTAGTCCCAAGTTGACAATCAGAGCAACTGGAGGAGAACACAAAGTTTACTTTTTTTTAAAATTTTTATGCAATTATTTCTTGTGATCTGAACTCATAATTACAGTTGCTATTCAGATTTTCAATTGCAGTTTCAGACTGAAGTATCATGACCCATATCTGTGTTCTTGTCACTTGGACTAGATCCATAAAACCTCTCCAGGCCTTCTGATGTCTGCTGTGCTGGAGCTTCAGCTGGCATCAAGCTTGGAGCTGCATATCCACGGCGTTGCAAAGCAGCTGGCATTAAAGCACCCTGTGGGCAGTGGGGCCAGGAGCCTGGAGCAGTGCTGCATCTGGGAGTCCAGAGCATCCTACTGGCCCAACTTAGAACATGGTGACATAGACATGGCTTTGTATGTCTTTGTCAGCATGCCTTTGCTCATCTTAAGTGCTTAGACCTATCTCTACCTAATGCAAATTTTAGATAAAGTGACCCTTACTCAGCCACATCCTTTGCAGCAGAAGGTCACTAATTGTCTTGGGTTTCTACTAAGAATGTAACTATCTGACTCCCATGAGACCATGCATTTGAAGACCACTGAAACTGAACCACTGAGCAGTCCTCACTTCTCTCACCTGTTGAGACTCATCCTCAGGAGATATTTCTCTATTGTGCTTGTCCAAAGCAAGGTAAAAAAGAAATATCCTCCTATTCTTACCATCAGTTCCTCTGTGGATTAGCCATTAACATATATTTCCACTATTTAGAGGTTTAGATGTTTAAATATTTCCCTTTTTCTTGGTGGTCTTGTGGACATTTTTAATTCATTACTCCATACTTTAAACCTTGGTCTTTACGATATTCTTCAGTCTTCATCCTTGCTGTTGAAACAGTTCAGTGTGGTGCAGACCAGAGAGGGAGGCCTGTAAACATACCTCCTGTGCCTTGTTATAAGAGTGTTTGCCTAGGAAGTCTAGGTTTCTTTTGAAATACCAGTAAAAGTTTAAGCATTTAAAGTTTAAGTATGCATTGTAGCAGGGAGAGTAACAGAGTCCCTTTTTTTTTTTTTTTTTTTTCTTTTAGGTAGGTACTCTAACAGCTAAATTATTTGCTTATGTTTCTGTTCAGGTGCTTGTTCACCCTCTCTTTCTGGTCTACTGAATACAGAATGATAATACTATATTTAATATTAAAGTGGAACAATCACAATAAGAGGGCATGAGAGCATCTGCTTTCGCATAAGCCTGTAGTTTACTGACTCAAACCTTCACCTGGAAGGTGAGAGAAGTGGGTTCATAGCCTTTTAGAGAAAGGAATTGAAGCTGGGAGCATTAAACTTACATGTGTGAGAGCTCTTTTATGCAGGATTTCTTTATTAAATGTGACAGTAACACACAGTTCATATAAAGAACTGAAAATTTTGGTAATAAAGAACAAATAGAAGTGTGAGTGTGCCTAGTCATACAAAGGAAGCAGATGTTAGCAATGCATTAAATTACAACTCCAGCACAGGCATACTCTGTCTTTTTTTTATTTGCCATCTATCTTAAGACCATATAAAGCTAAAGCTTTCTCATAGTAATTTAGTATTTTTTTCACATTCTGCCAAAGATCTGACAAAATGTGTTGAGTCTCTGATAAAAGGTAAGTGTGACTTTATCTGAACACTAAAAATGATCTTAATGTATTACATTAACTGTGCCATAGGAGTTGCCTAAAAGAATGTAGGTTTACTTGGGGAAGCAGAAGAAATAGTGAGGTATATTTAGGAGAAAATTTTGAGTGTGTAATTTCATAGGAAAAAAGCTTACATCGACTGGTTTAGAGCAGACCAACAGAAAACAAAAGTTGGTGCAAACCAACAGGTTTCTGGAGCTTGATGTCCTGCATGGAAGTGTCCAGAAAAAATTGCTTCAGAGAATGGAGCAGGAAAACCTGCAGAAAGATGCTGTACAGGAAAAAGTTTAGTCATCTTTTCTAACCATGCCAGTAATTTCAGTATTTTAATTCAGTTTCATTTTACACATGAAGTCTGTGCCTTCTCTGTGTCTGAGGAGGAATGGTGAAAAGAAGTGCTTGATGTATACTCTATACAATTTACTGCTTTCCTTGTTTTTATTACTTCTCCTATATTTTTTTCTCTGCTCAAGATTAATGCTATCCAGCAATCTTTCCCAGAAAGAAAAAAAAATGGATTTTTCAGTTTAAAGGAGCAAACAAAACCAAATCTTCCTCTGTGAAGACAGTATTGAAAGTATACATAACTGATGCCAAATAAAAGGAGTCAAAAAATAATAAGCTTGGCTACACTTCTATGACTGGTAAGCCTTCAACATACACAATATACACATATATATTTATGTACTTTTAAAAACAGTTGTGGGGAGTTTTTTGGTTCTGTTGGAGTATTTTTTTAATTGGAATATAACCTGAAGATTTGATAACCCCATAAAAACTTCTTACATTTGGATATTGCATAGTAAAGTACAATAGAATTATAAAATTTTTCCCAATGAAACTCTTGCTATAGAAGTGAAAAAGAAAGGATGAGAAAAGAGTTTTTCTCTTTGAAGACATCCCTAGCAATGCATAACTCTCTTTCAGTGGTGCTAATTTAATATTTAGAGTGCTCTGATATCCAACTACGTGATGCTTTCATTTGAAGGTGTAGCAGTTCACTGAACTTGGTGTCACTAGCCATTTCCCTCACATTCACTTGTGACTGGACTTTCTATTACACTGGTGGAATAAAAAGGCGAATAATGCCACAGTTTTTTGGTGGATTTAAGGAAAGGAAGAAAGTAAAGACAATAGCCCATCAGAGTTTGAAAGAGCCCTTTTCATTTATTCCCATGGGCCTTGTATGTTTGTAGACCAAGGCAGACTCAGAAATGTGTTGTAAGTTAATGATCTGTTAGAAGAAAAGAAGAATAAACATCAACAGTCGTAAATCAAATTTTTTTCTCCTACTATTTGAATGTTACTTCCTTATTTAAAGAAGGATACATTCTTTTGGCATTTAGGTGCTGGGAACAATTCTGTAACAGTAATGTTTTTCCACCAAAATTTTTACATAACATTTTCTTTTAAATCTTTTAAAGATTTACATATATAATTTAAGTTTGACTTTTATAACTTCCTCTGTCCACCCAACCCTGTTCCTATCAACACTAGAGGTGTTAAACTGCTTCATATGGTAAAAGCTATCATTTTCCATTTTGACTTTTCAAGTAACCCTCTGGCTGTTACCTTGATGAAATCATGGAATCTGGGATATTTTTCCAGCCCCACGTCTGCTTTTTGGATTATCCTTCAGGGCTCCATTGTGCTAAAATAACCAGTGTTCTACAAAGTCTTTCTGCGATACCTCCAGGGAAATGAAATGGCTTTTTCATGTCTGAGCATTCAAAGTACCAGTTCCTTGTCCTGTTGCCCTTATTGTGGGACAGAGCCCCGACAATGCCTGTCAAAGCAGCCCTGTCTATGGTATCAGAAATGGCAGTGTAGAAGCTGTCAGATTTTCGATCCTGTTGGCTATGGGCATTTATGTTATCTTGTGGGGGTGTATATTTTTTCAGTGTATCCTTCATCTTAATGGAGTGTGATAGCTTATGAAAACTAGCTTGACGTTCATTACTGAACAGATTTTTTTTTTTCCCCTTTGTCCACCAAAATTATCTTTGTGACAGCAGCAGAAAATGTTTATATGGGAAAATAACTGGAAAATATTCATTTTTTTTAGGTAGTTAGGGCAGTAAGTCCTCTTATTCATTGGAATCAATAATATCAGGCCCCTGTAAGTGTTCATACTCCTGCCATCTTGTAACAGGATACCAACCTAACAATCTGCAATTTTTCTGCATAATTCTGTCATTTAACTTACATGGGGTACAAGGCTGAAGTTACACAAAAGCTTAGGCAGTGAAATGTTCATCAATATGGCCTCAGTAATGAGTAATTTTGTTAATATTGGGGAGTTCACACTTCTGACTTCTGTTCCTGGGCTGCCTGTACAGTCCTGAAATGTGCATGTTGCAAATCAGGCATCAAAGGTTACAACTCATATCAGAAATCCGAATAAGTTTGCAGATGGGAAGGGCAGCAGAGAAGGTTATGTTCTGTACTTCCTCCTTCTCTGGGGTTTTGGAGCTTCACTGCAGGATTGGAACTCTTCTTTGTGACCCATCAAATAGACATAGGTGTCAAAATCCAGTCCTTCCTGAAAAAACACGGATGGAGAGATGGCTTTCCCTGTCAGTCTAACAATAAAAACATTCATTCTGAATGAAGGAAATACAGAAGACATGTTTTACCATCAGCAAATGTGTGTCTAATCTATTGGGCCATAAAGCAGCCCATCTGAAGGAGAAAGAGCATTTAGAAGGCAGTTCCATCATTTCCTGCCACACATCAACAAACCTTGTTATGGTGGGATGCAGGCAGCCAATGCAGTTTTGCTCTTAGTCACTTTTGGACTAGCAATACTTCAGGAATAGGTATTAGGAATTTTTGGAATCCCAGCTTTGAATTTGATAATTTTCCTGGGGGTTTGCCCCCAAAACTCTGTTGTGGATTTAGACTTTAGTGAACAGCAGAAGTGAACAATAGTCCCACTGAATGAAGAGGTTAGTCTGTATTTAGGGAAATAATTTCTTGACTTTGTCATTACATTCTGAGTATCAGGGAAGCCAATTAGGAGCAGACTCAGAATCTGCTACTCTAAATCTAGTCCCCTGTGGTACCTTCCTTAGACATTCTAATTAATATTCCTAAATGCTTAGAGTCAAAAGAAAAGAAATCATGTCCTTTTAAAGTAAATAAATATATACAGTATGAGAATTTCCAATTGTCTCCATTATGAGCAAGCAGATGGCTCATTGTAGTGTTTTATTTTTTTATTTACAGAACAGCTAGCTTGTACTACGATATCTCTTCATCTCCAGAATTTCTCTTCCAAGATTATGTATAGGCTCTGTCTTACTAGTAATATTTTAATTCATCACCATGTATTTAGCAAACTCCTTCTTTTATCACTTGATGACAGAAGGAATTTTTTTTCTCTGACATTTATTGCTTTTTAAACTGTATTTCTGGTTGGGTGCCAGATTGCTCCCAAAAAATTGTAAATAAATGTGAGTAATACAGATTTGGATTTATGAACCATAATGGCTGGATGCTTTAGCTGTGAAGAGATGTTTTATCATATTGTCCACCATTATGTGGAGAAACTTTTAAGAGTTGTTTTCCTGCTTTTTTTTACTACAGACCTTAAAGGTTTTAAACCAAGTTCCTTTGAGACTTGAACACAATTATAGTAACCAATCTGACATACACACAATGTGAATAAAACGCTCAATTATATACAGGCATTTTAACAGTGATACATTCTACACACATAAAATAAAGGCACCTTGAAATAAAACTCTTATCCCACTCACCTCATTTATCTCCTAATTACATATAAGCTCACACAATTAAAAAAAAAAAAAAGATTCCTGTATGTATGTCATTAAGGAACATAAAAGAAAGGCTTCTTATCTTTTTGCATGCTTGTCTGTAAGACTCAGCACTGTTGCTATCTGTAAGAATACATACTCTCTCTATATGCTTATGTTCATATATAGTTCATATATACAAATATATCTCCCTTCAGACTCTAAATTATTAAAACACTGGCTGGGGAGCTGTTCCTGTATTCACGCTTTCTGGTATCAGAAATTCTTTGGATGGAAAGTCCCCATTTCTTGCTCTGTGAGCGCTGCTTCATGAGACCATGAAATCAATCCTGCCACCCTTTTGGCTAAATTTGGATTCAAAATGAAAAATTGCC